AAAACTTACAAAAAAAAAAAAAGAAAAAAAAATAATGCAAGTTACAACAAAATTAATCTTTGAAAAATGATTTCTTGTAATGTTTGAATTGAACCAAAAAAATTGTGAGTACCTGATGCTGCATTTGGAAGGACAGTTATTCGGCTGCCTTGCATTGGCTTCACACTACCGAAATCAGCTATCTTTATATGCCCATCTGTAGTAAGTAGCAGATTCTCTGGCTGCCATTTTACAAATTATTACATTTCCAGAGTCATAACAGAGAAAAAAAACAACTTCCAACAATCTATCTTAAGTACCTTAATATCACGATGTATCAGTCCCATACTATGTATATATTCGAGAGCATCCACAACTTCTGCTGCATAAAAACGAGCCTCGTCCTCAGACAAACGACCTTTCTGCACCATAAATCAATTAGATTAGTAAATATTGACTAGGATGGAACATAGAAGCCAGAAAAAATAGAAATATTAATACATAACACAGACTATTTTCTGATAACATGTTATGCACTTAGAAATATAACATACTAGACCTCAGTTAACTTGCTTAGACCTCGATTCATGATCATATATGGAATATGAATTTCAGCTAAAGCTTTAAAAAAAAAAAAAAAAAAAAAATGCACAAGCTTCTAAGTCAAAGAGTTTGCTTACCCTGGTAATTTGATCAAAAAGTTCTCCGCCATCGCATGATTCAAGTGCCATGTCTTCAGAATATTAAATTACTCTCATGAGTAGAAAAGAAAATGTAAAAGAAAGAAGAAAAAAACAACCAATGTAATAAATGAATCATAACAATGCAACAGTACTTACAGAGTGAGAAAGTATCTTGAAAAGTGAAAAACAATGGCACTACGCCAGGGTGATCTAACTGGTCCAATACAATGCGCTCCAATTTCACATAAGCAGTTTTGTTTTCTTTTGTGATGAACTTTTTATCCATGATCTTCATGGCATAAACATTTCCTGTGTCTTTTTTCTTTGCCCTCACAACCTGTTCACATAAAAGAAGGTCATTATCTTAGCGAGTCACAAGACTCAGTTAATTAGCAAACTCAGAATGCAGTAGAAAAAAGCTTCATGCGCATAACGGAACGCAAAATGCGACCTGCACTAGTTTCTCTCTCCCCCAAACATAGATATGCGCTTTTATTGTTCATCGGGGCAAATGTATTGCTATTATGAAATATCTTATAATTTAGTTACTAGTACGTAGCCGTGCAATGCTCGGGATATAAAATATAACGTAGCCGTTATCATATTAACTGAGTATATATTTTTCAGTTAATATACAATATACACTACTAAAAAATTATATTAAAAATATATACTCAGTCAATATGATAACGTAGTTGTTATCTTATATACAATACGCTACAACTTTTATTTTTATTTTTTTAGGAGTATTTAATATTATATTATTTATTACATTGATTTTGAAAAACTATAAATCAATATAATACACACACACACATATATATAACATATTCATAAAAAATATGCCAATTTAAGGCATAATAAAACAAGTTTGGCATTAAATTAAGTGAAAATTGACATTTTCTTTCACATAATTATAGCCTAATAAAGTTTTAAAATATATCAAACAAGTTTTTTGAATCTCATTTATCATGAATTAATAAGTAAAATTGTTTTGGACATTTTTCGTAAAGTTACCCGATCAAATAATCATTATATGGAAAAAAAAAAATTTAAAATTGTAATTTGTAACAAAAATTCAAAACTTAAAACTGATTTATTGATTAGTTAGGTACACTTGAACAAAATGTTTGCTAGAGAACTGGTCAACACCAGTCGTCCGAACTGATAGGATCGTAAAGATTTTTAAATAGATTTTGTTAAATTTTAAATTATTTTTAATACAAATAAAAATACATATTTAAATTAAATGGATATTTATAAATTATTTATATTTTGTATATTTAAATATTTTGGATTGTTCATATATTTAATTAAAAAAATTTATATACATTTATTACAAAAAGGACTACATATATATATATATAGGGGACGGATCCAATGAGACCACTCCTTAAAATGAGTACGTGAGACTCAATATTAGCCACTCATTTTGTCTAGATCAAAATCAATTAAAATATACATTAATTAAATAATAAATTAATTATTAATTGGCTCCGGCGTTGACCGTTGACTTTCGGTGTTGACTTCAGGCGAAAATCGTTGACTTCCGGCGTTGACCCGTTGACAAATAACCTAGCAGCAAGATAAATAACCTAGCAACAAAAGACACTCAACCTTGAGTGGTGTAGTGGTTGCATTGCTTGTCTTGCTTCCATGAGGTACCAGGTTCAAGTCCTATGGGTTACAATTTATTTATTTTTTTTTAAAAAAAAAAAAAACCTAGCAACAAAAGACAACTAACCTAGCAGCAAGAAAGAAGTATCATAGCAATAAAATACAACTGACCTAGCAGCAAGAAAGAATAACCTAGTAACAAAATACAACTAACCTAGCAGCTACAGATAACTAACCTAGCAACAAAACACTATATCGTAGCAATAAAATATACTAACCTAACAGCATCAGACAACTAACCTAGCAGCAAGAAAGAAATAACCTAGTAACAAAATACAACTAACCTAGCAGCATCAGACAACAAATACAACTAACCTAACAGCATCAGACAACCAACCTAGAAAGAAATAACCTAGTAACAAAATACAACTAACCTAGCAGCATCAGACAACAAATACAACTAACCTAGCAGCATCAGACAACCAACCTAGCAGCTACAGATAACTAACCTAGCAGCTACAAATAACTAACCTAGCAACAAAATACAACTAATCTAGCAGCAAGAAAGAAATAACCTAGCAACTTAAGACAACTAACCTAGCAACAAAACTCAACTAACCTAGCAGCTACAAATAACTAACCTAGCAACAAAACACAACTAACCTAGCAGCTACAAATAACTAACCTAGCAACAAAAGACAGCTACAAATAACTAACCTAGCAACAACAGACAACTAACCTAGCAGCTAAAGATAACTAACCTAGTAACAAAAGACAGCTAACTTAGCAGCAAGAAAGAAATAACCTAGCAACAAAAGACAACTAACCTAGCAACTACATACAACTAACCTAGCAACATCAGAAAAATAACCTACCAACTACAGAGAACTAACCTAGCAACTACTAATCTAACAACTACAGAGAACTAACCTAGCAACTACAGAGAACTAACCTAGCAACTACTAACTTAGCAACTACAGAGAACTAACCTAGTTGGAAGGTTAGGGATATTACTTTGGTTCACCTGAGCTTCCTCATTCCTTGTCTGATCCTTTGGTTCACCTGGACGGAAAAGAATAGTGTGAAGCATAGGGATATTACTTCCTTGCTTTCTCACATTGTTTTGCAGGTGGAGAGACACGTTTCGCTCCTCACAGCGTTGGGCAGGCTTTCTGCACGTGAGTGGACAGGCTGCACGCCACCGCACCGCTACAGGGTGGCTCCCCCTCCGCCTGTTCGGTCCCCTCGGCCCAGAACTGTTGTTTGGCTTCGACCCGACTCTCCTTGGGTCAAGCTGAACACCGATGGATCTTTCGATCGCCATAGCGGTACTGCCGGAGGAGAAGGCTTGATCCGGGACCACAGTGGAGCTCTTATCGCCGCCTTCCACACATCCCTTCAGGCATCCTCGAGCTACGATGCAGAGATTCAGGCATTACAGATTGGCCTTCAGATTGCTGCCGACCTCTCTAGTCATATTTGGATTGAGCTGGACGCAACGGCTGTCGTCACCCTCCTGGCCTCGGGTCATTAGGGCTCGTGGCAGATTCAGCACCCACTTATGCGCATTAGAGATCTTCTTCGGTCTGTCCATTACAGGATCTCACACATCTTCCGTGAGGGGAACAAACCTGCTGATTACCTTGCCAGTCTTGGCGCTACCATACCAGACACGCACACGTATCAGACCTACACTGCTCCACTCCGTCTTCGCACGCTAGTTCGGATGGATCAGCTGGGATATCCATCGTTTCGATTCCAGTAGATTAGGTTTCTGGTTTTGGTTTTCTTAGACCATCCATTTATTCCGGGCACCTGTTAGCCCGATGACAGACCTTGTTCTATTTTCATTTTCTGTTTTCGTTATTGTACTGTTTGGATTGTGAGACTATGTTGAGTGTTTTGGCCCATTTTAGGGCTATGATCTATATACAGGTTGGGGATCCAGCCTAATCTCCCGCCCCTCGGGGCGTTGTTTGTTAAAAAAAAAAAAAAACCTAGTTGGAAGGTTAGTTGTCAACGGTCAACGTCGAAAGTCAATGGTCAACGCCGGAAGTCAACGGTCAACGTCGGAGTCAACGGGTTAAAATAATATTTAAATAATTAAAGTAATAAAAAAAGAGTAAATCTTGGCCACACATGATATGTACCAAATCTTGTGGCTAAAAATGAGTCTTACGTCCTCACTATATATATATATATATATATATAATATTTATAAATTAAATTATGGTCTAATCAGTAAATCATTGAATAAATAACCTGATCAGTTCGATGACGGTCATATTCCTGAGAACCTTGAATTTACCGTACATTAATAGATGTTGTAATACAATAAGTATTAATAAAATAATATAAAAATATTCATAAATCATTGAACATGTTGTCATAAAAGCATTCATAATATGATTATTTAGAGCTTGGACTACATCAATTTATAGTAAGAAAGTATTTTTAATATTAAAATTTATTATGAGTTTTAATAATCGTTTTGGTCTGGCCAAATTGACCCATAACTTGTCACTCAGGATCAACCTCAATTGTGCCACGTTGTTGGATTATTTTAAATATTACTTAAAAGTAATTCAATCAATCTAAGCAGTAACCTAATTCGACACTCGATTGATCTAAAGAAATTTCCTTATTTTCTTAAATGTATTTAATTTTATGAAAATAAAAATATTTTATGATATGTAGTAAATGTTTGTAGAAAATGACAATATACTAAGATTATAAATATATCCAAAATTAAATCAATTATTTCTTACCATATTCATATTTTTTTAAAAAATAAACACAATAATTTTTAATAATTAAAATTAATTGATTGATTCGACGATGTGATACCAGCATGAGTTACTATACAGGAGAGATATTTGCATATCAATTAATGTTTTTGTAAATGTTATTCATAAATTGTTAAATATTATGGTGTTATAACAAATAAAGTGCTTTAAAATAATTAGATTCTCATTCTATATATATAACCTAAGACAAATTGTTATAATGATAATTTTATATATTATTAAATATTTATTAATAATTCAATTTGATTAATAATGCAAGAATTATTATAATTGTATAAAATTATTTTTCTTATACTTTTAACAAAAGATTAGTTCCAAGAAAATTTACAATACTAAAAAAGAAAACAAGCAAAAAAAAAAATCTTTAGATTTATTTTTTAGTAACTAAAAGTGTTTAGTGAAAAATTACACGTACTATTTCAAAAAAATGTCAAACCTTTTTATATAAATATATAGATCTTACTTTATTTTTATTTTTTTTAATTTTGTATATTAGTTTTGACTTGATTTAATCAAATAAAGGGGTCTCGACTGTCCGTCTCATATATTATTTTTATTATTTGTTATCTCTAGTTACGATTTGTTTTTATCGAGTATATTATTTATTTTTAAATTAGTGTCCCTAACATGAAAATTATTAGTTGTAGAAAGACAATAGATAAAACAATGACTACCAAATATATATTGCAATACTTTTTTAATTTTTACGAACAATATATTATTAATTATCTATATCTGGTCTAATTTGTAAACTTGTTAAAATGTATGGACAATATTAAAATGTTGTAAAATTTGATGTTTTAGGTTCGATTACTGAAAAATAAGTTTAAGAAAAATAGCATTCATACAATAATAAGGTTTACAACAAATTTAGAGGCAAGGATTTGAATTGATCGGTCTAGAAAGAGATGATAGAAAGTAATGCACAATCAGCTCAAGATCTCAAAAGTTCTTACCAACAGAGATCCCCTTCTCTTATTCGATAAAGAAAGAACTAGCAAAAATGAATTTTGTGCAATTCCCATCAAATTTTGTGCATTTTCTGAGTTTCATGAAAGGGCATTCGAGTAAACCAACCAAACAAGCAAGAAAGAGATGACAGGTCTAAAACAGATAAATAAGAGATGCTTAAGAGGTAAACA